GGGCGCCGCCATCTTTTTTTGATGAAAAAGTGCTTCCGGTGAGCTTTCTACCCGGAAAAGCTCACCGGAAGCACTTTTTCATCAAAAAAAGATGGCGGCGCCCAGCAAACCAGCGGCCCGGTAGGACTTGTTCCACGGACCGGTGGTTGGGGACCCCTGTGTTAAAAGACAAAACATAAGAACAGGTATTTAAATCATTTTTGTCTTTTTTCCCATGCAAAAAAATAATCCCAGAACTGGTCACAACTCTGAGATAATTCTTATCCTCAGGTTTACACTCAAAAGGAAGCACAACCGGGAAAGAAGCCGAAAGTATAATGGTACTGCCTTATTGTGTTAATTTTACTTACTATGAGGATGGCTACAAAACAAGCCAATGTTGTATTCCAGTCCCCACTAGCAGTGGCAGCTGCCTTGCCGACAAGCACGCTATAGAATATAAAGTCCCCTAGACCCAGCTTGACTCCTCCTATTAGAAGTAAAAATAATTCCATCAGATAGTTGCACCTGTCTTCCAACACATATTTTACGTTAGGTTTAAGCAAACATGACATTTATGAACATCAAGGGATATCAGAAACTTTCCTTTGCACCTCAAATTTTCTGACTTTTAAAAATAAGACTTTTATTTTTATAGGTGCTGATTACCACTTGTAAAAATCTACATAGCATAGGATCAGGCTATTTGTGGGACCACCTGTCCCCAATTGTTTCTTCCGCCCCCCCCCTCCCAAATCTAACAGAAAGGGCATCACTCCAAAGATTCTGAAGACCCCAACATTTTAGTCTTTCATAAAGCTCTGAAGACCTGGTTGTTCCTCCAAAATTTTGTCCAGGAAGTTGGACAATCTCTGTGGGGTTCTCAGTGCTCTCTTAGCTTGGTCATTTTCTTGCAGACATTTCATTATCCAACCAAATAACCTAATCAGTGCTAAAAATGAGTGGTGTTGGATCTCTGATGGGAAACTGATTATCTACACCAAGCTAAGTTCAAAAACATTATGGAATTCCTGGAAGTCTGGCATTCAGACAAATCAGCCACCAACAAGCACAAACAACATCTACATTCAGAAGAGACTATCAAAAAGCTAAAAAGGAAACAAAAAGGTCAAAACGCCTCTTTGCCAGCAATCAATACCCAGATAAGCAAAGACTAACACCAAGATTAATACTAGGCTGACAATCAAGTAGTAAACAATTCCCTAATCAAGGAACCATTCAGACAAACAATCACATAGTAAACTAATCAAGGAATAATCAGGAGGATCCCCACCAATACTGACAGGGCAAGCCACTTGTAACATAGAGCAAACCCCTTGTAAGCACTGATGATGTTATCTAGTTGGATAATGAAACATCTGCAAGAAAATAACCAAGCTCAGATAATCCCAAAAGGACTCCAGTTCAGGCCTGATTTACAAATATTTCTTCCAATGGTAGGCAATATCTATTGATGATGTGATTTTTTTTGGGAGTTACTATGTAACCAGGACGTAATGAGTTTATACAGTTAGTTATATTGTTAAAATATTGCATTATAGTATTTTAATGTTTGCATGTTATCCAGAGTCATTGCTATGAGATGGGCAGCTCTACAAATCATTTAAATAAAATAAATAAATACATTTGCACCAATCTGATGTGGTCTTAAGGCTCTCTCTAGATTGATACAGGGTGCCTGAAGTACTTGCTGAAAAATGGGTGACCTCCATACTCACAGTTGTGGCCAAATCTACACACTAGATGATTTTAAGTTTGAAATGAGTCCTCATCCCAAAAAGATTACATACCTCATGTTACAAAGTAATATTTTAGTTATTTCCTACATGCAGAATAGCATTTCTTTGTGGCCCTCACTTAAGACCACCAAAGCATATGAAATGGCCAACATTTGATTTCTACCTTAATGTAAGGAAGCACCCAATGTTCCTGCATTTTTTAACTACAGCCACAAAGTAAATTCAGGGCCAAAATAAATGAATATGCAGAACCAATCTCAAACAGATTTGCTGTAATCCAGGACCTCCCTAGGATTTTTCACAGATGGTGTATGTCATAAAGAAAACAGTGATGGAAATACTCTTTCATGCTCAAAATCCTTGCTCCTTCTCTGAAATCTACAAATAATTGTAATACTTCTTTTAAAGACAGCTGCTCCTATTTTAAAGGATTAATAATAGTGAATTTTTAATTTGCTTAAGTGACAACAGCTTACTTTCTTCCTCCTCCTGGCTTTCCTCAAAGTTGCGGGCAATTTGACCAAGTTGTTGGCCAGTTTGATCAATAGTTGAGTTTCTCGTTTCTGGAACTTCAGGCTCAGCATGTGAAGAATTGCCATGGGTCTCTGCTTCTTCAATTTGAGGCATAACAATGAGAGAAAGACAAGCAAAAACAAGAAAAATCAATGTATTACAGTAAAATTTAAGAAAAAAATTGTTAGAATAAAAGTTCCCCTGTTATAACAAGACTGTGCAATAATACTGATTTAACCTAGTTGTCATGGAGAAGATAACTGATTTGTTCTCTGTTATCACAGAGCCAGGATGTAGAATTTATAGTTTTCCTAATGTTGTTTACAAGGTTCACAAATTCATTTGACTGGTCATGCTGGATCTGAATCTTACAACCAACCCATTCTCAAATAAATAAAAAAATCTTTTTTTCTGTGCATAAATTGTCAAAGGATTCGGAACCATTCTTCAGTCAGTAATTGAATTAACTCTTTCACTGCAGAGATTTCTAATGCAGTTTCCAATACAAACCTTTCGGAAACTTCCCTTTATAATTAGCTTGCAATAAGCAAGAAATCCAGTGAATATAATGAATTGCAGATTCCATTTAAATTCTATTTAATAACAAAAGAATGACTCTTGTTGTATCAAATGTATCAATTACCTGGATCCCATATCTCCTGAGAAGACCTTCTTTGTGCATTATCTGGCTTTGCCATTCCTATTGTCCACATCATAGCAGCTGAAGGAAAGCGCAAACAATATACAACTTATGAAACAAGTTTCCTTCCTAAATTTAAACATTTACTAGAGAAAATTTGTAACATCAAAAGAAATCTGGAGCCTGGGCATCAGGCCCATACTTGCAAATCTAACTTTGCAAGGCCAGAAACTTTCCTTTTAAAAAAATGCTGAGATAATCAGGAAATTGAATTTTATATCTATTTCACAATCTGCAAATATCCAACAATATTTCTGAACAGAAAAGAATCAGGAGAGAATTTCAATGTTCCATTTTTATTCTGAGATAATATTTTCAATTTACAAGGTACCACTAGTTGCTACAACAAGGGTAATTCTATAAAGGCCAGTCACATGAAAGAAGTATGTATTTTACTCACAGGAATAAATAAGTGCAGGAAATATTGGCTCGTTTCTCTCTTGTGCTGTTTCCACTAACATTCGGAGAGGTCCCTTTGGACATAAAACTGCTATCAAGTCTGTGGACAGAAAAAAAATGTCTATTTAACCCCAAGTAGCATTCTGAACATCTAATTTTCCTGCTGATACACGGCAGAGAGTTCTCAAAAGGTACTTATAGCTTTACTAAATCATGATAATAGCAGTAAAATAGAGTATAATATACAAAGAAAACCTTCTGAATCTTGGAGAGCTTCCTTTTTGAAATGAAAGAGGAGATAAATGCAATTTCAGAACATCAAATCAGGGAAAGAGGAATTCGGGGAATAAAACACCCATATAATGTAAGCAATTCTAGGGAAATAAAACCACCAAACTTTATATGGCACACAGAATCTAACCCTTATTGACAAACACAGTCCAACCTTATCATTAGTCAAAGCAAGGGACTAGACTTATGAATTAATTTTGATATCACTGAAGAGATGGCAAACAATCTCTTACTTCATTTACATCCAGATGCAAATTCTTCTTAAGTCTCTTAATTACCCCACCCTTACAATGAAAATATTGTGAAGAAATGTAGCCAATATAATAACTGAAAGAGCAAAAGTGACAATTGGAATGGAACTAAGAATTGGCGAAATATTTAAGTAGAAACATGTTCTTAGACTGTACAGAATTAATTTTGAGAAGCATTTTTTTGTATTCAGGTAGACTTACAACCACAACTGAATCCAAAATTTCTGTTATTGAGTAAGACATTTGTTAAGTGAGTTTTGCCCTATTTTATGACCTTTCTTGCCACAGTTGTTAAGTGAATCACTGCAGCTGATAAGTGAGTAACCCAGTTACTAAGTAAATCTGGCTTCCCATTGACTCTGCTTGTCAGAAGGTCGCAAAAGATAATCACATAACCTTGGGACACAGCAATGGTCATACGTATGAACCAGTTGCCAAGCATCTGAATTTTGATCCTATGATCATGGGGATGCTACAAAGGTTATAACTGAAAAATTACCATAAGTTACTTTTTTCAGTGCAGTTGTAACTTTGAACTGTTACTAAATGAACGGTTGTAAGTTGAGGACTATCTATAGCAGTGATCCCCAACCTTTTTGACGCCGCGGCCCGGTACCGGCATCAGCTGGGCGCCGCGGCCCGGTACCGGCATCAGCTGGGCGCCGCCATCTTTTTTTGATGAAAAAGTGCTTCCAGTGACCTCACCGGAAGCACGTTTTCATCAAAAAAAGATGGCGGCGCCCAGCAAGCCAGCGGCCCGGTAGGAGTTGTTCCACGGACCGGTACCGGTCCGCGGACCGGTGGTTGGGGACCCCTGATCTATAGTACTTAAAATTGGCCAGAATCTCTTAACATGTATTTTAGAACAATTATTGGATTAAAAAAAATCCCTTTAAAGTTTTGCTGTGGTTGTTGTTTCAATGCATATGACTCCAGGCCACGTTACAATGTCATAATGAATGATTATAATTGGTTACCACAGTTTGCTCTCCTTGTCTATCCACAAGCTACACAGAACAATTAGAATATTGCTACTCCCATTTTTGACAAACTATGTCTTGTCAGGTTTGAAAAGCATTAGTGACTGTTATCAGAGTGGAGCTTGCAATCATATTAGAGTATACGCAAACCTAGCTTGGAGAAGACCATAATAAATCAAGGTTTATTGCAATATTTGAATGCAACCTTCTGAATATAGGTTTCAAAGCTGAAACAATCTCTCTCAAGTGAAATGCAAACATTTAATATTTATCATTATTTATGATTTCTAGGACATGGCATTAACTTAGTCTCCTCACAAAAGACACACTCGGTTTGCAGAGGAGGATCACCTCACAAATTCTTCTGTTGTAGACATACCATAAACAGAGATACCTCCTAGGATGACCCAAGCTGACCACTCTGGCAAGTACTTAATGAAAACTAAAGCCATCAAGGCACTGATCATAATGAGATAGGCTTGCTGAAGTTTCAGAGGCCCCTTCCAGTGGATGCAAATCATCCCAACTGCTCCAAAATTCCAGATGACAAAGAACAGGGTAGGGTAATCCATAGCCACATTGTAAGTCTTGAGTACTTCACTGTCAGACGAAAAAACAAAAACAAAAAAAAGTAGTTCACTGCCATGATGTAGTAACTGTGAACTAATAGCACAAGGTGACCCTGTATTGTATAGGAGACAGGAAGAACAGGGAAATTGCAGGTGTATGACCAAAATCGTGCGCTGTATAACTGAGCTTCCAAGGCTCATGGGGTCAAAATAGGATCAAAATATCTGGTCCCATGTCACATTATAGTATGTGTTAATCTAGCCAAGCAGATTCTAATCTAATCACAGCTCTTCGGGATCTGCATTTTTTTCCCCAGTAAGTTATTATGTGATGTCAAAGAGAAGACAACAACCACATTAGAGATGTTGTACAACTACTTATCCAAATAAGCCATTGTCCCCACTACAGGTTCCTTGGAAGTGGGTGGGAAGGCTGTTATTTTAATTCAGAATACAAAATACATACGGACCAACTAGATTAGGAAAGGGATATTACACATCACCCAATAACTAAGTCAACCTAATTTTGAAAGCTAACAAATAGAGGCAAAAGCCATCTACTCTTATCTATCATAAATATATTTCAAACGCTATCTGAAATTTTGCTAACACAGTCAACCTAGGTTCCACACAATTATACAAATGCTATTTAATAACCTGGCATAGTTACTAAGCAGTGACTGCTTTATCAGACTATAAGAAATATGAGAATGAAAGCAAAGCTCCAACAGACTAGTCCCCTTCTTTAATCATATAAAGACACTCATTATTTAAGAATGATCATTCATCTTTAAGGAACTTGCTTTTTTCCTCTTCCCCGCTCATGCTATTCTCTTTTGGTGGCATGTTGTTTCATCTTTTTTCATGGATCATATACGCTTTCCTGTTATTCTTCAAAAATCTGAATGAAAAACTGTTGCAAATAATTTAGCAATCCCTCGTTAGGATCTACACTAACCTATACCTACCCTTGTTTAAAGGAATACAAAGTGATTTAGGATTCACAGTTCTCACTTACCCAAGGTAGATGTAAGTGAAGAGAAATAAAAGCATCAGCGATGAAAGAATCAGCCACCCATGAATGAACTGCAAAAGATGACAATATGCTGTTTAGGTGTCTTTCTTGCACATTCCGAAGATAACTACATTGACCTGGTTTTGCTATAGCTCTCTCTTCAATTCTCTTACAGGAAGCCTTCCCAGCACATGCTAGTATATCTGAGAGAGAGGGGAAGGCTTCCTTAGGAAGACAAAGAAGAGTAAAGAAGACTTCAAACTCTAAATGAAAGTCAAAAAAATTCATAGGAAGTTAGAAACAAGGTTTTTACTGCAAAATACCAAAAGCTTTTCAGGGAAAAATTACTTCCGAGGGACCGTCTATTTGTGCAACTCTGACAAGAGTAAAAAGCTTGATTTCCCCTTCATTTATTTTGCCAACTAATTGATCTTTAAAGTTACCCTGGGGCCTGTCAAACAGTCCTCTGTCCCAAATGTCTAGTACATTCTCCTTCTCTACACCTGCCCCTCTCTAAAACGCCTGGTTTTTTAATATTCTCTGATCACGATATCAGCCTCTTATTTAATGATAAAACTATAAAAAGATCTTACTTGTTTACAGTTTGAATAATTTAAAATATTGAAAAATAACACTGAGGTTCTTCTAAATCCTGCAAAATTCTTTAAAATATTACTTTTCCGCAGTCAACATTTTTTAAAGGTGTGACAATAACATTTCTAAATATTTCCAATCCATGAAAAAATGCAGACTAATTGCCTACAATGACGTGGCAAATGTATACTATAAGAATCACTGAGGATCAGGCATAAAGAATGTTGATAACCATGAAGTGAAGGCATCTGATAGAATTAGGCTTTTATAATTTGATGCCTTTGACTAGCATATTCAAAGCCTTGCCTTATAGCAACGATATTTGTACAGCAAAACCAAAAAGATGGTCATCACTAGAATAACACTGATCATGATGATGGTATTCAACACAGAACTCAGGAGACGCTGGCCCACATAGGGGGTATCTTCACTGAATGGGGTATAAATCCTGAAAGAAAAGGCAAAATATCTTAATAGAAGAAGCTCACTGACTATCAAGTCAAAACCCAATTCCCTCCAAAACGTATGTATTACAAAATGCCAATCCTTAACTCAAACGCAGAAGCAACAGAAACAAGACATTTATAAAATAGGAAAGGTAGCTTTTGGATTTATCATATCTTTAGCTACAGTACCATTTCCCAATCAAGGTATGCTGGGCTTCCACTCATTAATTTCCACCCAGTACGGCCAAAGGGATTTGAACACCAAACATCTGAATGATCCCAGGTTGGAAAAAAATTGAGCAACTTGCTATGCGCAGATGATTATGGAAATATTGTTGAGGTACACAGATTTTCAACTTGTGAAATCCAGTGGTGTTTTTATTTATGTATATATCTGATTTCATGTGGACTTACAACAAGACAGAATACGTTAAAAAAATTTAAGAGCCTTTTAAAACTTGACTCCTGGATATCTCCATGCTTTACCACAAATTTACTATTTCCACTTAGGAATTATGGGAGTTTGCAATCCAAACACCCCTGGAAAAAACTAAATAATAAAAAATAAACTTAATGCAAATAATGCATTCATTGTCTATGGAGATTCTCAGTCATCTAGGTCACAGTTGTCCCAAAAGTGCCTTTTCAAGAGGTAACTGGACCTTCTTTGTTTTTCTTTGAAGACATTTTGCTTCTCATCCAAGAAGCTTCTTCTTCCTCAGAGCTGAACAAGCTTCATGGATGAGAAGCAAAACGTCTTCAAAGAAAAACAAAGAAAGTCCAGTTGCCTCTTTAAAAAGCACTTTTGGGACAATGCATTCATTGTTTGAGAGTCTGTGAGGAATCACTTACAGTTGCCCATTCTTCTCAGTGTAGAAACGGACTGACTTAATGGTCGCAACAACTACAACCATGCACAGTGTTACAGGCACAAACAGCATGATCACATGCTTTGCTCCATATTTTAAGGTCAACTCTTCTTCCTCATTATCCAGCACAATATGTCCTTTTGCTGCTCTTTCTGGATCAGGCTCATGTCCCTCTGCTTTATTGGAGCTGCCAGTGCTGCCAGTACGTCTATTCTGCAATAACAATGAACAGAAAGAGTTAGCAACTGTTGTGCAGATCTGCTTTCCCAACATAGTTCTTTCTGACTGCTTAATGCCTTCAAAAGCTCTCGCCAAAAGTGGTCATTTCAGACATCTGGAAACCGAGAAGACTAAAATATTGTGCATTTATTACCTTTATTGTCAGAATACAACATGTGTACAATGAGATTGGCTGAGCCTCCCTTCGTGAACCCCCCGCCCCCCCAAACAACTCACAGTGAGGACAGAAGTCCCTAACCCAGATCCAGTCTTATTACCCTGTGTGACCTTGATGCACAACGCGCTGGCCCCACAAGTCTGTTATACTATGTTGACATGAAGTTATTTTCTGTTCAGAAGTCTGACAGTCCACGGGTAGAAACTGTTCTTCAGCCTGTTGGTGCGGCTGGCTATGCTTCTGTATCTCCTACCCGATGGTAGGAGAGTGAAGAAGTGCTGACCAGGGTGTGAGTAGTCCCTAAGAATTTTCCTATTGTAGGAAACTGAGTAATAAAAGAGTCCGAAGTCCAAGAAGTTGCCATTTTCAGGGGCTAAGGAATATGCCCAGCAACCATAATGCCTCAGCTGACACAATGTGACAGAAGGATGCATGAAATAACCCAGTTCAATACTACCTTCTTTCCCCATCTTTTATCACCACAATCAAATTCTGAAAATACAATATGGATCCTTACAATTACATGACTGTACTTACTAACTGCTAAAATCTGACAACTTCTCTCATGAATTGTAAAAACAAGAGCCTATAGTAATTATACAGAATCTATATAAATATAATTACTATATAGAATCTATATTAGAGTCTATAGCCAGTTAATCTAAGGCAGGACTAGAACTCATGGTCTCTTAACCATGAGTTCTAGTCCTGCCTTTGGCACAAAGCCAGCTTGGTGGCCTTGGGCCAGCCACTTTCTGTCAGCCAAGGAAGGAGACAACGGCAAATCACATCTGAGAAGAAAATTGAAGGAAAATTTACAAGATAAGTCCAGGCAGTCTCAAAAAAATCAGACACAATTAAAAGAAAGAGAGAGAGAACACAATTGATGGCACACAGATATATTTCCTCAGTGAGAGCATATCTTCACTTGTGCAATCTTGCAATGTGAGGCTATGGTAGGAGTGAGGGTCTTTGGTTTATTAGCCATTGGCTGATTTTAAAAATAGTGAAGTCCTGGTGTAAGAAGGTGGCTGAGGCTCAAATACTTTAATACAGCCAGCCCGATGCTGGATGATTAATAGTCCTACTTGGTTAGTATACATAGTCCAATATAGCTGTGATGGGGAAACAGCGGGAAAACTACCCTAATGTACTTGAACATCTGAAACTGCCAGTCTAGCCCTTTTGAAAGATACAAAAGGACTCACAGAAAATGACCTCACACAGAGAACATGGTCACCATTATATACTATAACTGGATGCTACTCAAAGAGCAGATTTCTTTTCTTTTAGCGCGTGGAAGACAAATCTGATTCTAACTAAATTTAGAAATTTCCTAATACGGTTCAGCATTAGAACTGCGTTGGGATATAGTGAATTCCCTTTTGCTTGACCTATTTAAATAGAGGTTGAATAGCCATCAGTCAAGGACATTGTAACACGGGTAGGTACTGCATTGAGCAGGAAGTGATGTCCATTAGGGACCTTTTATGGGGCTCAGAGAAAACCTGATTTCATTTAAATGCCATTAAATTAATTTTCATTCATTAAACACAATGAATACTAATATCTCATATGGTATGTATAAATGATTTTAGACTCTTTCCATCCTAAAGATTATTGAGCAACAACTTTTCGAGAGAGTCTAGTCCTAAGGTGACTAAATGACTTCTATAATCCCTGCCAATTCTAAGCAAAGCTGCACATTCCTTTCCAAAGACTCCTACCCTGTGGGAAAGTGTTTCTGCAACTTCAGATGCTTGTGTTTCATCATGATAAGAAGGCAGAAGGGGACTTTCAGCTGACATCAATGATGTCCTTTCATTGCAAGGTTCTTCTTCACTGTCAGAATTGTTCATGAAGGCGATCATGCTTCCTTCTTCATGGAGAATCTTAATCACACTCCAGACGCTGTAGAAATAAGTAATGTAGAAGAGTAAAAGCAAAGCAAACTGCCCAGAATAATAACAAAATTAAAGAGTCTTCCAAAACTGATTTTTTTTTCTGAAATAACTAATATTCCAGAACTATTAAAAATATTTCACCTTTATTTAAAGTTGATTTTTTTTTATGCTATCGGATGTGGGTTTTTTTAAAAAAAGTATTGGAATCTAATTTTTAAAGGGCTAATACTGTTTTTCTAGGACTCTCAAAACCAATACCTTCTAGCTGACTTAGGTTACATTTTGGGTAATCCCAACCACTTATTTAATTGCCGCTAAATTTGAAGAGCATCAGGTTGGGAAAGGCTACTGTTGTATACCACTTCTACCCAACATAGAAACAGATTTAAATGCCGTATGTTACCAATAACAGATCTTTATCATCTAGTCTCCCCCACAGAAGTGAAATATGCAGTGTATTTCTTTTTCAACTACACTACAAAAACTCAGCTGTTTGTTTGAAACCTTCAAATTGGGCAAAATTGTACATCGTAGGGCAACAAATTTTGAATCAACATTCCTCAACTAGGCTAACTTAAAGAATGCATCCAAAATCCAGGACCCATTACCTCCTTTGGGATTGAAATTTGGCAAAGTTTTAGCAATGTTGTACTTAGCCACAGTGACCATCATTTCTAATGCTCCCTGCCAGCTTCCCACAAAGGTAATCAATGGGAAACACAGCAGTAAATCAGAAGCTGTTACTGCTCTCACGGCTTTTCGGCATTTGGTTTCTCTGTTTAGGTACGGAAGTGTCTCTGAAACAACAACCCAATGGTACATGAGTTTTCTAGTTACCCCTAAATACAGTATACTGCATGCACAATTCATGCAAAATTGCATTCTTTTAAGACATTCTTTTCATGGTGCATTTTCCCTTTCCCCTTCTGAGTTACAGTATGTGAAAGTTACACACAATGAATGATACATATTAAACATATTAACTGAGCCATAGTGGTGCAGTGGTTAGAACATAATACTGCAGGCTAACTCACTGCTCACTCCAGGAGTTCGATTCTGAACGGCTCAAGGCTGACTCAGCCTTTTATCTTTCCAGGGTCGGTAAAATGAAGACCCAGATTGTTCGGAGCAATTTACTGACTCTGTAAACCCCATAGAGAGGGCTGTAAAGCACTATTAAGCAACATGTAAGTCTAAGTGCTACTGCTATTGATGTTAATATCAAAAAGACCCTCAAATGTGAAGAACAAAACAGGAAAGAATTAGCATGTATACAGTCATACAAAACTCCTGAGAAAATCTGTTTTTGCTGCTCTAGATTGTCCATAAGTATTGCCAACATATTGCAATGAAGTTTGAACAAGGCAAATGTGCCATTCTCACATCAACAAGAGAAAAATAGTGAATATTGAAAGAATCAAGGTGCCCTATGGAAATAACATCAAGAGTCTGGATAAAGATTATCACTACAAATACCTCAGCATCCTTCAGGCTGACAACATCAAGCAGACAGAAGTCAGGAAGAAGGTTAGAAATGAATACATCATGAAAGTGTAGAAGAGTGTAGTATGTATGTATAGTTGAAGTAATGACCTGGATTCAAGCAGAACTAAAGGCTCTGGATAAGAAGATCAGGAAAATAATGATAATGAATCATGACCTTCATCCTCGCAGCAATGTTGTCAGACTGTACTTACCAAGGCAAATAGCTGGACATGGAAGTTGTAAGTACACAGACAGTTGGGGGGAAAAGGGCATTGGAAGAGTATCTAGAGACTAAACTGATGGAAAGAGACTAAACTGATCTACAAGAAAGGCCTAATGCAGAGTAGAAAAGACACGTGGCAGGCAAACTATGACATGGCCAGTACAGAAAAAAACATAGCAGGCAAAGCAAATAACAAAAAGATTAAGAGCAGGAAAATTGAAGAAAGAAATGGAGGGCTAATTCCAGTTACATAAGACAAACCTTAAAAACAAATGCATATATAGTCAGAATTGAAAAAAACAGGAAGAGACAGCAAATGCCAACTCTGAAAAGAAGGTGAAGAAACAGTGGAGTTCTTTGTTAGCTGTTGCAAGAAGATTCACCTACAAGTAACAGAATGATAAAGTAGCAATAATGATGCATTGGAATATCTGCAAGAAATACCACTAGCACTACTTGAATGCTGGCATTGATAAAATCATTATTGGTTAATTGCAAAAAGAAACCTTTGCTTGGAATAGCTTACATTCTGTGACAATACCACATCTTCATAAACAACTTAGATAAAGGAATGACACAAAGTCAGGGGAAATTTCTAAGACTTCAGAAGTAGACACAAGAGTCGGAAAGATCTTGACAGACGTAAACATGGGTCCCTATCCACCTAGATGCAATTCAGTGGCAAAAAAATACAGTAGAGTACAGGATAGTGCCTATGAGAGCATTCAAGGTGTCCTGGTGGACCATTGCTTAAAGATGAATCAGTAGCCAACTCAGTCCTGGGCTGCATTAATAGAGGTTAGTATCAAGATCAAGAGAAGTATAGTACCACTCTATACCAGATTGGTGAGGCCATATTTGGAATACTGTGTCTAGTTCTGGTCACCACAATACAATACAATAGATGCTGATGTCCTACAAAGATGACAAAGAAGAGCAACAAAGATGGTAAGATGTCTGGAAGCTATGAAGAACAGCTGAAGGAATTAGATACGTTTAGTTTCATGAAGATAAGACTTAGATGAGACATACTAGCAGTCTTCTAATACTTGAAAGGCTGCCACAGGGAAGAGAACATTGATTTATTGTCTATAGTATTTGAGAATAGGAGAAGAAAAAAATGGGTGGAAGCTTGTCAGTGGGAGATCCAATCTGGAAATACAGAGGAATTTCCTGACAGCAAGAACTATTAAGCAGTGGAACAGCGTGTTTCCCATAGTTGTGGGTGTTCCATTGCTGGAGGTTTCAAGAAATGTTTATACAAGTATTTATCCAAACTGGTATGAGGACTCTTGCCTTGAGCAAGAAACTGGACTAGTGGACCTCCAAGGTCCCTTCCAGCCATATGATTCGAACACCACCAAACAACATCTACTTATCCCAGGTCTTTGAGAAGAATTCAATACGTCAGGGCTGTCAAACTCCTGGCCCCTGGGCTGGATGCATCAAACGTTGGCCACGCCTATGCCCAGTTTAGCGAAGGGGGAAAAAGTCCCAATATGTCACGTGACACTGCCATGACGACGTGAGTTTGACACCTCTGCAATAGTGGATAAAAATGCAAAATCCAATGTAAATATCTGGCTGAATATGCAACCAACAATTATTATTTTGTTTAGGCATTGCCTGATTCCAAGATACTCTGGAAGATATACATTTAAAAAAAGAATAAAAATAGGATACAATACTTTTTATTGGGGGGAGGGGAGAAAATATAGCCTAGCTCCAGGTCTGAACTGAAGAATTGTTCATAAGATACAGCAGATATCTAGTTCTACCAATGTACTTGCTTTTTCACCTGGTTCTGGTTAGCAACCTTTGAAATTCTAATAAAAGTAACACAGCAGTAAAGTCTGAGTTATATTCATATACCTGATTTAAATCAGGTAGAAAAAAGTATTAGTGGGTATCGCCAGAAGCCAAATTACTATTGAAAATATACTGGTCTGATAAGAATAAAAAAAAAGCATTTAGAGTGAACAGACCTGAGCAGATCTAGTGTATCTATTTAAAAATACAACAGATCTTCTCTGCTTGCAAAGATAAACCACATCCTTTCTCTGTAGAGGTATTTTCCATTGGCTTTAAATTCCAATATACAGGGGGCCTTTTCTGAGCCAAGAACAATGTCAAGCTTGAAAGAAAACTTTTTTTAAAAAAAAAAAGCAAAACTAATAAATGTGAAGACTGCAAGTCTTATATTTAATTCGTTTATTTTAAGTGGAAAGATAAAGCCTAATATCAACACCCAGAGATGCATATTTGAAAGTAAATATTATTACTTTCAACAAAGCTTATGCCACAGTTAGTGCATACAATTAAAGTATCTGCGTGGCTTGCAGTCAATGTGCCTGCCGGATTCCTTGTCCCACTTAATTTTGTACTTTTCCAAGAAACAAATCTAGTTAAAATGGGGAGATAACCTGTGGCAAATTTCAATATTATTACTATCCAGAATGCCTTGAGTCACAAATATGACTTTACACCTTTCTTAAGATTATAGAAATGTTGTTTCCCAATGATGTTTGAAAATTTACCCACCTATTGAGAAATAGCATAACTGTAATAAACATCCTTCAGAAAAGTAGGTAGAGAAGGTAGCAGATAACATTCGAATTGGTATTTGTTATTTCACATATGTCAGCCATTTTGTGAATTCAGGCTAGTTCCAGTAGTCTTTTGTTAATATATCCAAAACATGTGTCAAAATTCCAAATGTTGCCACTAATCGCCAAGGGATGAGGAACACTATTATACTGGCCTATTACCTGAAAAGAGTCCTTCCTATGATTCTGTCATCAGAAAACCATACCAGCATAAAGCCTGCTGTTTCCACTGTCAATCTGTATCCTGCTAAAGGAAATGTCCCACCTAATGATGTTGCCCTTATTTATTGTGTACAGGGCATATTAAGGAAATGGTGGATCCCCTGGCTTTGCTTTCCTCTCTCCTCAATAAATGTCACCAACTGGCCGGAAAATATCTACCAATCATTCTCCTTAATCATGAATGGAACTGTAGAAGAAAGCAGAGTTTGACTAGACCTGTTCAGGCATCTTCAAAACTTCCTTAAAGCTTTGAGAAGCTCCAGACAATTGATTTCCAGAATGGAAGAGTAGGCAAAATACAAAAGCAGATGGGTTACTTCAGTGTTTGATTATTTGGTGAGTAAAGAGTTGTATTCCCCTCTGCCACTGCTTCCTCTTTTGGACCTTAAACTGTTATATTTGACTGGGGGGACTGCATGGTGGGCACACACTGGGGCCTGTCATCAGACTATGCTATACCATTTCAGACAAGTTTTAAACATGGGTTTACTACTCTTCTGAAAGAGCACTGCACCTATGTTTTACCATAACTCAACTGACCAACCACATGGGAATGATTCCATAGTGTCATAGTCTTTCTTATTTCCAGGGCTTGTCATTTGTTAGTTGGTGTAATTCCTCTTTTAAAGTCAGTTCTGCAAGTTTGGGATCAGCTCAGGTATCTATTGAGTCAAGGGTAGAAGTTTGAAGGACCCAGACACCCATACTACTGAAACCAGAACGGCCCTGGAAGAGAGGAGGCCTGCCTATATCAGCTATAGCAATGTTTTTTCAAACTTAGCAACTTTACCATATACTGTATGGACTTCAGCTGCCAGAAATCCCAGTCACACAATTACAATGAATACTAAATGATGAGCCTCATAACCTTTATTTTCTAACCAAACTAATGTCTTGCAAGACTAATTGCACTTGATAATTGTTTCACACAATACAAATTCTTTACAGAGATGGCATCTCTTGGAAAGAATATGTGAACATATATTGCACGTGTAACAGAATGTAACACAATCTATCTTGGGAAAGCATATACTGAAAATCACTGAAAATTCTGCAGGGCAACAGCAATTAAGCTTTTTTTTCACATTTCCCTGAATGAAAACCCACCATTTCCCCCAATAAAGCACATCTAGATATTTGATCTAGCTAAATAAGCTTTTCCCTACCCACTTCCTGCTTCTTCAGCCATACAGCAAGGGGAACAAACTGAAGAAGTTTTAACTGCCCTTTTAACATTAAAACTGCTAATTGGGCAGTTATTCACTGGAGGCGGAGGAAAAGAACAAGGTTTTAAGGCACCAGAATGGCTGCAGGGGTCACTTTGAGCAAAAGAGCATATCCCCCATATATTTACTTTGAAAGAAGTCCATTCAATTCAGTTCAGAATAGAGCTGGGAGGGGTCTTAAGAGGCAGAGACCTCATACCATTTCAGACAAGTGGCGGCTGTCCAGTCTCTTCTTAAAAACCTCCAGTGATGATGCACCCACAGCTTCTGAAGGCAAGCTGGTTAATTGTTCTGTTAGCAAGTTTCTCTTTAGTAACAGTGAGAATTGCTTCCAGTCCGAGACTTCAGCTACTGTCACTTCCGAGGGCTTGCAGCCTTATAAGATCTCATCTACTTCCTAAGGCAGGCCCCCATTAAGGATGCTCGCAGGAGGAGCCATCTTCCTGAACGAAGACCCTTTCCTACCGAGACCGTACCGCATGCGCCCGAGAGGCGGCAACTTTGCACTGATTCAGGCAAGGTGCCGAAATGCAAAACGTCCCAAGCCAAGGTCTCCCAGAAACCGGCCCAGGAAGTAGATGCCTACGAAACAGGCCGGGCTGCTTTTCTAACGAAGCGCGCGCCCGACAGCCGCTCCTAAGCATCTCTCACCTGAGTGCTTCAACGCTGCTCGCTGCCCGGGAGCGATTCCGCTGGCATGCAAATCCCGGATTGTTGGGGCTCGTTGCTTACCAATTCCTCCCTACGGAAACCGCGACAACTTGACGCCCTTCATTAGTTTCAGCACGACCTATTTCGGAAGGGTGAGTTTTGATGAGCGCAGCGTATTATTGCTCCAGCCGGCTGTCACTCAGGAAAACGCCTCCTTTAAGCAATTCCTCATCCAATGAAGAAGAACGGCCGGAGGAGCAATTTGCCAATGGAGAACGAGCGCTCTCAAGCAGAAGCAGAAAGGGAGACCGGGATTAAATCAAGCCGGGAGGATCAGTGGCTTGAAGGTTTTGCTGCGATGGAGGAAAATCCTTTTTTTTTTTTTTTTTTGCTGCAGCACTTAAAAAGCTGGAAGAATTGCGATATTCCCCTTTTGCTGTTCTTAAAACAGTAGCTTGTTATTATGTGTGTACTTTTGAGATTTTGTGTAATTATCTGTCATATTTGCTTTGTTAAACACATATCTGATACTAGGGTACCATTAAATATGACTAATGCAGTGTGCAAATATGGAGTTACTAATATATGTAATATTGTATGGCTGAGCTGAATACTGAAAGGAAAGGAAGGAAATCGGTAGAGGGTTTCTTGTGATATTGCCTTATTTGGCAGAAATGTTTTATTTATTTATTTATTTGATTTGCCAATTGTTTACAAGATAATAAGTATAAGTGTATACATAGTTGTGAATACATGAAATGGGTACATATAAGAAAAATAAAAGAATAAGAGAAACAATAGGACAGGGACGGTAGGCACGTTGGTGTGCTTATGCACGCCCCCTACAGACCTCTTAGGAAAGGGGTGAGGTCAATAGTAGACAATGTTCATTAACAGTCCAAAATAAAAAAAAGTTACATAGTTATTCAGCTTGTGTGATTTTGATTCCAGGCAGCATATATCAATATTATGTTTCAGCCAAATCCTAAACCCTGAAAAAAAATTACACGTTGTTGAAGAAAGTTATCCCTACTCTTTTTCATACCAAATATACTCAGTTACAGCAAAAGTTTTTAACTGATGATAAAATGGATATTTGATTTCAGTTCTTTATCTGCCCTAAAATGAAATATTTTCAGCTGTGCAATTTTTGCTTTTGTTTTTTTCAGGAAAAAAAATATATGGCAGCTTAGAACTTTTTCTATCTTTAACTGATGTTTAAATGTTTGCAAGCTTTGCATGCTATTTACTATCATATGTTAAACATCTGACCCTAGAGGAAACTTAATTACTGTTTCTAGTGATTCTGATTTGTATTGCTGAGTATCTTGGGAGAACATACTGTTGACGTGAATCCAGAATATTTGACTTAACATCTTAACAACTTCATTTGCAGAGCAGGGAATGTCAAGGCAGGAATGAGGATCTGGTGGCAAGTACAGGAGTGTGTTTTGCCTTTGCTATATGTTTACTTTTTTAAAATATGCATAGCTTCTATGCATACATACAGGTAATCCTTGACTTACAAACTATTCAGTGACCATATGAAGTTACAATTACACTGAAAGGGTGTTATAGCCATTTTGGACACTTATGACCATTGCAGCATTCTCATGGTTACATCAGGGATGTCAAACTCATGTCATCACGGCGTCGTGATTTATCGGAACTTTTTCCCCCTTTGCTAAACTGGGTGTGGGTGTGGCCAGCGCATTACACATCCAGCACATGGGCCACAATTTTGACAGCCCCGGGTTCCATGATCAAAATTTGGATGTTTGGCAACTGACATGTATTTATGATAGTTGTAGTGTCCCAGGATCATGTGATTTTGCAACTTTCTGACAAGCAAAGTCAATGGAGAAGCCACATTCTCTTAACGGTAACCATGTTACTAATCTTAACAGACATGTTACTAATTTAACAACTGCAGTGATTCACTTAACAACTGTCATAAAATGGACAACATTCAACAACTGTTTTGTTTAGCAACAAAAAATTTGAGCTAAATTATGATCACAAGTCGAGGCATACCTGTAGTTTCTGCTTATATTTCTCTTTTTATTAGAGAGCCAGACTAGAAACCAGGTGATTCAGTTCTAATCCCACTTTAGGCCAGATGAGTGACTTTGGGCCAGTTTCTCTCTCTCAGCCCAACCTGCTTCACAGGTTTATTATTGTGGGGAAAATAGGACAAGGAAGGAATATTAGGTATGTTCACTATCTTGAGTTATTTATAAAAGTACTAAAAGTGGGAAATAAATAGCTACTCAGATTCCAAGTGGCTTGCTTCTGAACTTCTTCACCAATCTATAAAATTCTGCTATATAGTTAGATGAGCATCACAGATTGGACCAAGCTAAAAAAAAAAAAGATCATTTGGCTTTAGCTTAGTCTGCTGTATCAGTTACTATGATCTGTAAACCATGAATTATGGCTTAGTCTATTGTTTAAGATTGTGAATCGAATTGAGAAGTGTTCAAGAAATCGTGGCTAAGCAAAAGATAGTTATTGGTTTGCAATTAACTAAGATTGATATCAAAACCTTGGTCTATGATTATATTAATGTGCCTGCTCATTAAAACCATCTTTAGTGGTATCAGCAAGTTTTCTATTTCTAGGCTTTTATACAGGCCTAAAGACCAATTTATTCTCAGTAATTTTTCTTTTTGTTTAATTAGCTGAGGATTTGATTGTATTGTGTGCTAAATTTCAATGTTATTTGATATGAATGCTTGTATTGGTGGTTTATATTAAGTATAATTGGTTTATTATAATGCTTTTTGGAAGGAACTTTTAAAATATATAGTATTCCCCTCTTACAAAGTCCTATCACATTAAGGACAAAGAGTATTCATTAGCCATGGAACACAGAGCAATTGTTGGAAAAAAGAATAAAAGGAACTTGCAATGAAGTATTTTGGAAGATATTATATGTGGCACATGGGAACACTGAATAGTACACTAGTATGTTACATTTTATTAAGCTGTTGGATGTCAAACTCTTTGTTGAAGCAGTTCTGAGTTCAGGGAAAATGTAGATTATTGGCCTCAGTGAATGGAATGCACATTTCTCTATAATACTTCTAGCAAAAACAGTTGGCATATTACTTCCTTATCTGCTTTTCTATTGTAGTAGATAATCTTTGTAGTAGATAATCTTTGTAGTAGATAATCTTTGAAGTGATACGTTTAAAAGTGGGAATCTATTGCAGCTTTTTAATAAAAAAACATTTCTGATTAATGGTTGGAGAAAATTTTATCATCTAAGTAATAGCTGTACAAGCTAGGAAAATTCAAAGCTTTAAAGAGTTGCAGACATGCCTGTTGCCCTTGAATCTGAAGGTCTGCACAATCCTAATATATACAATAACTCTTTCATATATTTGTTACATTTATGGCCTGCCTGGCCTCAGAGAGCTAAAGGCAGTGTATATTGTCCTTCTTCCTCTTTGTGAAGGATGGATTGAGTTACGATAGTGGCTAGCCTAAAGGTTGAGAGTGAACTCGAATTTGACAGTTCCTGGATATGGTCCAGTATCTTAAGCCAGGGCTTCTCAAATTTTGCAGTGTCATGACCACCTATGATTTGTAAATTAATTGTGTGTCTTCCTTCTCCCCATGAATAAAATTATTTTCTTTGCATTGAATTTGGGCAGGAACAAACACACATAATGTCATGTGAATCATTCAGTTGGAAGAAGCTCAGAAGTCATCTAATCCAACTGTCTGCTTGGTACAAGACAGAACCCTGCAACTTTAGAAAGCTTATTTTCTTTGGAAATAATCATCAAATTTAAAACCATATGGCAAGGATGAGCTTGCTTAGTTTTAATAATTCTTGAATTCTGAGTTTTACTTCCAAGAAAGCCATTTTCACTTCTCATTACTTCTTTATTTTTTATTTATAATTGTTTACTGAGACAGAATAGGAACAGTGATCCAATTGTGATGCACATCCATGAGACTTGAACAGGCAAAGGCAAAAGCTTGTTAAATCATACTCCAAAGTGTACCGTATACCTAGTAACTAGTTTGGCCTTAACCAGTACCCTACACTGGTTATTCATAATCTATTTGCCATATATTCCCCGTAGCACTAACATGCTGAATTTAAGGATTCTCTGTTCCAATATATAAGAGCACTTATATTTTTATAAAATGGCATCGAGACCCTTTTGAGGAGGTTGAAGTATGATAGATAGGGAGGGATGCCTTTCTGAAATCAAGTAGAATTTCCATGAAACAAAACAGAATATGCCTTGGAATAAATATTAAAACATATATTAAAGGACAGTAAATTGTAATGAAATCAGTAGGACCAGATTTGATTTTTATAGAAGAAGCATTCTTTGTGTTTTCTAACTGGTAACTCCTGTTTTTAAATTAAGATTAAAAATAAACCTTTTGATTTCGGCATTGAACCAGTTTTCTCACTAAAAAGCCAGCTGAACACTCTTTGGGGTCACATTTGGAAAAGTTCAATTTAATTACTTTATGGATATTAAAGATCTTGAAAACAATGAGCTTAATTTAACACCTGGTGAGTTTTGCTTTCTTTTGATTTTAAAAAAATTAAACAGTAATTTAAGACTTTAAAATACTGTAATAATTGACAAAAAACAAAAACAATTCAATTAAGTTTTAATAGATGTAGAGACCAGATAAATTCGGAATATTTTGCCATAGTATATAAGTGTATAATTAAGTAACATACTTGTGTGATATGACTCAAACAGAACTAAACGCATATGAAGAACTGAGGCATGGAAGTTGCAAATGGACACTGGAGGGGGAACTAAAGAAC